AGAAAGTGGTGTGCGCACCGCAGTTCATGTAAGTAGAACTAACCAATCTCCTTCACACTTTGTATGCAACATACATATTTCTGTAATAATGGCTGACTCAGACAAACAGAGCCCCCAAACACTGCAGTGCTTTTTCATTCTCTTCATAAATACAGAATAGTATCGGAACCGCTGCAATGGTTTGTCCGTTTGTCATTCTCTGAGAAAACGGTTGATAGTCGTGAAGTTATTAGAGACGCCAGAGGAAATGGAAAACCGAATGCACACGCTCACACTTTTCACATGCTTTTAGACGCAACGTGAACAGACTCCGGTTGGGTTTTGCTACCTCAGGTCAGAATAACAACAAACAATTGAGTGCCATGACAAGCAGCAGTGAAGAAATTGTAAATAAAAAAGGATTTAAGGTAGTCACCAGAGTGGCTTTTTGGTTTCTTTTCTTGTGCATAAAAGCCACTAGCACCCCATCAAGATTGTTTAGCATACAGAGTAGCATATCACAATTTGTAATGTTGCACTATTCATTAGAATAATGATGATTAGTTCCTTTACTTGAAAGCTCAGATTTGATTATCATAATTTGTTTTGTTAATAGAGTTTGAGGTTTACTGTGTGATTTATTGTAGACGCCTTACAGATGTTAAGCTACCTTAAAATTTGCTCTTATTGTTCAGCGTTTACACTTTATCATCGTACAAACAAGTTTGAGTCTCTGTAGCACTAGTTTTATTTTATTATAAGATATAACAGACAGGTTATTTTTATTTTTTGTTTTTGACTATTAAAACTTTTTGCCTTAATAATGTTAGTAAATTAAAATTAAATTATAAAAATTAAATAAAATCCTAATATTCCTAAATGCATTGTAAAAAATATTCATTAATTATTGATACCGAATGATATTAAACATTATATCGTGATCTTTTTTTTCCTGTATTACCCAGCCCTGTGAGGGTGAGTCATTAATAACAAAATATGAACTTTTGGGTGAATTTACCCTTTGAATGAATATCAGAATAATGTTGTCCATGTAAGCGTACAGTCTGAAAGCACAGATATTCTGTATTTCACATTTTCTTCATCTTTCTGTCTCCTTTCAGCACAACATGCCCTTCTGGCGAATATCCAGCCACTCTGACCTGCTTGCCCTTCATCAAGCACTGGAGTTCGAGTACCTGTAACACTCGACACCTGTATAATAGGCCTTTTTTGTACAACTATTTAAGAACAAGAGTACACTGCGATCTCTTTTTATGTTGTTGTTGTTGTCGTCGTCTCTTTGATTATTTTAAAGAAATCTCTGGCTTTTACGATAACTCTGCACTGTCTTAAGAAGACTAGGACAGACTAGGAAGTGGAGAAAATGGGATTATTATGGTCAAACCAGGCTTGTAAAGAGCTAACTAAGGTCTTACGTCACACACACTGCATTTCACGTCTGAAGGAGGTGAGTTCTTGGGTCTTGAAAACTGCATATATCCTCACCCTCATCTACAGGAACATTATTCTCTGTCTATATTGTAGACTTCATCTCCACTTAAACAACTCGAACGCTGTACTCTAAACCCGGAGCATTTAGAGTAGACATAACAACTCATGTAAATTATTTTACAGGTACTGGATTAAACACTAAAGAACGCTGTGTGGTTTCACATGGTATCGTTTTGATTTTTCCTGTTTTTTTTTGTTTTTTTTTGTAAGTTTTTGGCAAAAAAAGGAAGTCTGTGTATAATTTGTTGTGCCTTATAAGATGTTTTGTGTGTCAGTTTTTATTTTGAGAATGTATGTAGATAAAAATATGTAAACATTTGAGATTTTCTTGAGTTCTCTATTTTCTGAATCTTAAAAGCATTTCATTCGCTGTCAAGACTGGTGCATCTGAAGGAAAAGCATTTACAATACAAAGATTGTTTTTTTAATTTGTACGAAACTCGTTAGTATTTTGATTCATGACAGATGGGGAAGCAAAATAAAAGTCACACAGAAAAAAAAAAAAACAAAAGGTTTAATGAGGTTACACATTTTTGAGCTCCTATTATGGGTTTTTGAAAATGCCCAACCAAGCTGTGTAACACAACTCTAAGTGAACGAAAACATCCAGCTGAGGTTTCAATCTGAAAAAAAACTATTTAAACTATTAAATTCTATTGATTCTTTAACGAAATAGCTGACTCAAGAGTCCAATAAATGAATTGCATTGGGTTCCGATCTTTTGCTTGAGCATGTCAACGTCGATATGATACATCACCAAATACAGTGCATCTGTAGAAGCATAGTTGAGTATATGCTGCTGTTTAACTGTATACGTGCTAAGGAGCAGTTTGGGAACAAATAAATTGCTGAAGGAATCATATGGGAGTCATTGGGATAATTAGGTAAAAATAAATGCATATTATAGAACAATGAAAGGGTTTTTTGACCTTGCAGACATATCAGCTTGTTACTCAAAACCAAAATATGACTTTTTTTAATGCATAATAGGTGCGCTTTAATGTACATATTGTGGTGTAATTTCATCCTGACAGACCTGGGGTCCGTTCTTCGTACGTGGATTACTCAGTTAGCTGGATTTGGATATTGACGATTTGACACGATCCAGGATCGTTTCGTTCTTCAAAGCTGATCCGAGAGTTGTTGTCATGGCAACAGATCTGCTAGGTCAAACCTGATCGGGAGCAGGTTCAAATCATATAAACAGGATTAGATCGGCTCAGTTCAAGCAAAGATAATACAGAAAGTATGTACCGAGTTCTGATATTTTCTTACAGTAAAAGTTATATACACTTGGGAAAATAGTAAATATTTTTTAACTATATATATAAAGTTATAGTCATTAATAAAATAAATAAAGTTATACATATTAATAAAACGTATGCAATCTGCACTTGAAATGAAAATACAAAGACTGCCATCTGGTGGTGCAAAGAGAAAACTTATTGATATGAACTTTTTAGATCGCTTTAGTACAAATTGTGTATAATAGAAATACACAATATGTGACTTTTTTAAAAGCAATAATACATTTATGCAGTCATAAACATGTTTTGACAGTTAATATGCCAGTGATGCTTCACAAAAGTTGCAGACGCCTTTACCAATATGAAAATGCTTTTGGAAACAACCAGTTATTCTTTACACCGATTAAAAAACGGTTACTGTAATAAAGAAAATCTTTTCTAAATGAAGAACTAAATACATTGATTTGCATTGAAATACATGATGAATACTCTTGTCTTGACAAATGAAAGTGTAAAGCCTGCAGCTCACAACAAATGTGAAGTTACTGCGTGTCATATTTAACAAACCGTTTACTGCTAATTTGATGTAATTTTGCTCACATGGATAATAGAATATTAATCAGATGATGTCATTACGCTGCTGTGCCGTCAGCCAATCGTTGCATTGCTGATCATGATTTCTAGGATCGATAGATCTGTCCTTAACAACAAACGCAGCGATCTCAGATCAGTTCATCCAGATATTCTAATCTGATTCGCGAACTTGTTTGGAGAACCAAATTAGCGAGAGATCAGTTATCAAGATTAAAAGATCCAGGATCTGCCAAATAATCTTAGATCATTTAAGCGAGGTACGAAGAACGGACCCCTGATTGTAAGGCTATAACCAGAAATATTAAAATTGCATGTTCAAAATTACACTTGTTGTTTTGACGATATTAAGGGGAAAAACAAGTATGCTATTTATGGGTTTACATCCTCTCAAAACAAACCATGATGTCAGTCATTTTCCAGCTCGACCAATAGCGTGAATTTGGGGGTGTGGATACACAGGCTTGCTCAGAGTTTTTTTTTTTTTTTTTTTTTTGCACATCTGGGATTATGTTTGACACATTAGAAATTCAGGTTTACCCACAGAAGTGTAAACCAAGCTAGGAAGAGTTGCTGAAATACGCAGAAAAAGATAATAGTAAAAATGGATAATGGTATTAAAAGGCTCGTAGCCAGGGTGGGTTTGGGTGGTTAGAAAAAACCCCACCCCCCTACTGAAAAAGTCCAGAATTTGGCCACTAAATTAGCTCATTTATCCCATTTTTACAGTATGCCATCATAAACTGTGAAAAAATAAAACTGATTAAAGAAAGCTTTAAGAAAATTTTAATTATAAGCAAATAATTACTGGTGGTAAATATAAAATAGTATTGGAAGCTCTTTTGCAAAAATATTGGAAATATTTTCGGTGCATTGAAAAGTGTGGTAATGATTACCTAAAAGCTAAATTAAAATGTCACTAACATACAGTATTTGAACTTCATAATTTAACAGAAAATGAGCGAAGACTGTTAAAAAAAAGTCCACTTTTGAGAAAAAAAAAGAACCGCCTGTTTTACGGGCCTGTTTAGCTGTAGTTTTGGTTGTATGTACATGATTTTTGACCAGTAGGCGTCTCTGTGTGGTGTTTTGAAAGATTCGAAACAATGAATCATTTTGATAGTCGGCTCAATTGATTCAAAGCTTTGTTTGTCATCACTAAAGTAAAAATAAATATACCAATTATGTTGCCTTTTACAACACCTTCCTGCTGAGTTCAGCCACAACCTTGATCAAACGCAACTGTCTTTAAATCCCAAAAGCTCATTACTTGGTTGTGTTTGATCAGGGTTGGAACTGAGCTCTGCCGTAGAGCTCCAGGAACAAAGTTAAACACCCATGTTTTACAAGATGGAGAAATTTGACGGAACGTTTCAGTGTGACTAATAAACATGAACACGTCTTTCTACTTCTTCCACTAGAACCAAACTAACAGTTGTTGTTGTCAGATTGGGTTGTGATCATAGACTGGAGCCATAGGATCAAACTCCACCTGTTTTTATATCAAGCCAAACTCATAAAACTGAATCTTCCAACTGAGGTACTGCCAAAATAATGATAAACGTACACCTTTAAGAAAATCGTGCAATTTAGTTTAATTAGCCTCACGTGTCACGCAGTGGGCGGGGTTTATGCAGGCCGTCACAAGTGCGACGGAGTTCTGACACTTTTGGACACACGTGGAGAGCAGCTTGTGGAACTGCCTTACGACAGGTAAGCTCAATTTTAAGTTTGTCACATTAAGTATTCATTGTCAAAATAGAGAAACTTATTCTTTATGTAACAAACGACCAAGGGAGCATTTATAAATGCTTAAAAATACTTAATTCCACAACACAGGTGTCACTAACAGCACAGCAAATCAAATGTAGTAAATTGTTTTTGTAGTATCCAATCTATAAAAAAAAAATTAAAAAAAAACTTGAAACCCTTTAAAAGTAAATTAAAATTGTACTCCTAGATTAAAAGGCTAGTTTCCACCAAAGTAAAGAGATTGTCTTTTACACACGCCGGTCACTGAGTTTCATTAAATCATTTAGAAAAAAAATGAATAGCTGGGACAGATTGATTACCATAGTCTTTTTTCCAGCTACCATGGAAGTAGAGACATGCCAGCAACCAGCTCTCTCAAAAACTCATGTTTACCAGAGGAAACTTAAGGTTGAAAACTTTGCATGGGGGTTGAGGTAAATTTTCCTTTTGGGGTTAATGTCCCTTAAAGTCAATTAACTACAACCCAATGTATTAAAAGAACACAAGAAAAGCAGCATCTTTTCCAAACAATTTTATTTGGCGCCTTATTTCTTGGATTTGAAGTACTCTTCAATGACGTCCTTAGCCTGGGACTCTTTGCCGTAGTCCTGCAGATGAAGACATGAACACACCAAACATTAAACACCTAAATCAGTTATTAGAAACCTTAAATCCTGTCAATACATTTACATAAAGACGATATGCAAATTTACAAAAACAAATGTTGCCCTTCTAGGGACCTCAAGAGTCAATGTGGGACCTTGAGGCTCGTGTTCAGGCACTCAATCTTGCCAAGACAATCAAATAAAACAGACACGAGGCACTGAGAGCCAGCATCTGGACTCGACCTGGCTTAAACACCCTGCGCCTTAAGCCCAAATATTCCTTTACCAAGTCAGTAGTGAAAAGCTAATTGCTTCTCCCTCATTCTGCACAATGCATCATCTTTCCATCAAAGGAATATGAAGTTAATTAGAAACAATTAGAAACCGACTGCAGGCGGACGCTCACCTTGATGACTACACAGCTGCAGCCCACCACCTTGCGGGGTTTGCCCTCTCTGTCGATCTTACACAGACCAACCCATTCCCCGAGCTTCTTATTGTCATCAACCTGCACAAAACACAATTAGATTAACAGCAAGCATTTAAACGGCAGTTGCTAGTCATCCTTGTGGGTCCCAACAAAATTTTCCTGGCAATATTAGACCACATAGTTTCATAGAAGCTAATGAGCAATAAAATGGAAACTAGATCAACATGAGGAAAAAAAAAATAAAAAAATCATTTGGGTGGTCTAATTCAAAAGAAGCCCACCTACTAGCTCTATAAATATTGTTCCATTCCTAATTGTAATGCAGGGGTCACCAACACTGTTCCTGGACCACCTTCATGCAGAATTCAGCTCCAGCCCTGATCAAACACACCTGAACCAACTCATTAGAACCTAAAGCAGCCCTTGATAATTACTGACAGGTTTTGTTTAGAAACTGAAATCTGCAGGAAGATAGCTCTCTCTTCAGAAACAGGGTTGGTAACCCTGGTCTGTAGGACTTATTCACCAGTTTTGTCCACTAGGACAGATTTCAATCCTGCTATAAAAGGTTTTATGTACAGTGTTGTCAAAACTAGTTTACACAAACTGAAGTCATTTATGCCAGGGTAATAGCTGGCAACATCACTTTAGAAAGGAATGTTGTGCAGATGCTGGATTGTAGTCTGCCATTCTTTCTTTGGTTGTCAGATGTTTGCAAATGCTTACAGACTTGATAGAATACATATTCTATAAAATGGATCACATTTATAGATTGTCACAGAACAGACCATTTTTTTGGATCAGCCAAAAGAAATATGCTTTCCATTTATTACAAAAACAGAACTGTCAGAAATGGTTGGTTTTAATAAACAACTTGAACCTGTAATGTTATAAAGAAAATAACAATAATAATAATAATAAATAAATAATAAAAATCAGCTGAATAAAAATTGTAAAATATTCAGTGATGTGAAACTCAGTAACTACTACTGTTGCTGATAAATGTTAAACGTATCAAGTGTATTATTTGTATAAAATCAATACTTCAATGTATTTTTTAGTCTGATTTTCAATAAATGATTACGTTATTCACTCCTAAAACATTCATTGCTAGAGAAGAATGTAATGTATTATTGGAATGTTAGCCTTGGTTGCTGACATGACAGTAAATAAATAAAGTGTACAATTAAAAACAAATTAACACATAAGATTTGTGTTAATACACAATTAAAAATTCTAAAATCTTTTCTGGTGTTACGTTGCTAAAAAGTTAATTTCATAGTCATCTGGAATCATTAAAAGCAGGACAGTCCAGTAAAAGGTTTTATATAGTAGGGGGGCTTGTGCAGTACAACACAGGTTTTCACCTTGGAGCAAAAAAATCATGAGTCATTCTTGTATGTCCAATACATCATCTGGTAAAAACCACGGTCAAATCTAGTCTTACTTCTCTGTGAGATTTCAGGTTGATTTCATGTCATTTCTTTAACAGAAGAAAAACTCAAACATGTTTTGAACAGATTCTTCTTTTTGGTGAACTATCCCTTTAACATCTTTCCAGCTTGCTCACCTTGATGAGGTTGATCTGATGCTCGGCACAGAGAGCCTCCACCAGCTTGACGTACATGGGCTCGTCACAGTTTGCAGCGAGGACGCAAAGATGAGCCTGGCGCCTGCAAGACAGACAAACCATTATCAGCCTTCAAACCTCCTCAATCAGGTATGAGCAATCACCCCCAAAAGTATCTCAGTAAGAAATTGGGTAACGAATGGCAGTTTTCCTCAGAGACTTCAGTAGAGGGAGCCAAATTATCATCACAGATACACCACAAGTGTCATAGAATGCTAAAAGTAAAAATATTCATACTTGTCGAGGGCCTTGGCGGCCTCACGGATACCGCGGGCCAGACCGTCGTGGATGAGTGCGGTCTTCAGCACTTCAGGCAGAGCGGTGTTGACATCCATCACACCTCCGGCAGCGATGCTGTCAACACAAGAGGACGTCACTGGGGTGGAAAGGGACAATGGTGCACGTGTGTACATTTAACAACCTCCGGCTTCTCAGACTGGATCTCTCACTCATAATTAAGAGTGAAGGGGTATCCGACTAAAGATTGAAAATTCATCATAGCCGAGGTCTGTTTATTTAGGAAGTGAATTAAACCGATGCGGTTTACTTTAAGTATGAACACCGCGGTCTACACTTACTCTCAAGTTAAATTTAAGAGCTTAAATACTATTATGGATTAAATTTAAGACAAATGAGATGTCAAAATGACTTCTAATTGAACATGTAAATTAAAAGTACTATTAAAAAAAAAACTAGAAAGCACACAATGCATTTTTTTATACAAGTTACATTTTTAAACTTTACAACAAGACTAAACACACCATTAAAAGGATAGTCCACCCAAAATAGTGCCATTCTTCAAAACACAATTTGAGATTCATCTGTTGAGATAGTTTGAAGAATGCTGATTGAACACTACCATTTTAGAAAAACAGAAATAAACTCAAGTTTAAAACCACATGAGGTAGAGCATAGGTCTCAGACTCAATTCCAGGAGGGCTGAGGCTCTGCAGTTTTCAACCCTAATCAAACACAGCTGATCCAACTAATGGTGTTCATGACTCTTGAATGCCTTGATTATTTGGATCAGCTGTTTGATCAGGTTGAAGCAAAATTGTGCAGAGCTGAGGCCCTCCAGGAATTAAGATTGAGTCCCATGAGGTGAAGTAAATTCTCTGTGAACTATCCCTTTAAGCGAGAATAAGGTCTGAAATGGACTTTAATTAGATTTAATACTCATGAATAACCCTGTAATTGAGTCACACCTGCCAAGTACACTCATGCTAAAGGTAACTAACAATAGAAGTAATTTTCTCGTGTCTATTTTGTAGAATGGATGTGTATAGATGTGTATTATACATACAAAAAAGCTGACCAGTGTTTTATCACAAGGAAAATGAATGGGAACAATCAATATGGTCCATAAAGCTTTTAACACAGGATCGGCTTAAAATAATAGCCATGTGCTACTAGTAACTTACAATTAGTTTTCTTTGAGCAGCAGCTCGTTATATTAAGTTGTATTAGTAAGGGGAAAAGTAATTGTTTCATAACATACAGGTTATAAATAATTTTTTAATACTTAAATAATGTAATACTCGTTTATAAATGTTCTTAACGGAGCAGTGCATGCTATGAAGGGTGATGTAGCATCAGTCACTCACCCTTCCTCGGCCATTGTAGATTAGCGATGGATGCGAGGAGTTATTCCTGAAATAAAGACATAATATGATGGATATATTAATATCCGTTGCTTTGGATGCATCTCGGGTTATTTTAAAGGCAGGATGGTTAATATTTAAGACCGATTGTGTCAGAGATTTCAGAAGCTCGCCCTACCTTCCCTCTGACTGCGGGTAAAGAGGACGTCATAGTGTCGACAACATTGCTTTAAGCGCTAAAGGGCCCCGTTGGTGTTCAACTCATTGCCTGCGTGGAAAGCAACGGCACTGTTTATAGCGTTTTCATTGTGTATAGTTTTAGTGTTGCTGATTTATTTTATTCAATAAATATCGCTCAGTATCGTTTTAACATTTAAGTACTTTTTATTATTCTCGGTGAACAATACTTAAACGCACAACTAGGTGTTGCTGATGTGATGTCTACCATTTTGCACTATGTTGGAAAAGATATTTATAAATGGACATGATTTTTAGGCTACTTTTTCTACAATTTTGCATATAAATAGTGTCACCAGATGATTCGACTAGCTCTTTTTGGAAAGTATTTGATTTTAGATTTGCGTGACTTTGTAGGAGAGGGCATCACTTGATAAAATGAAATCTCATATATTATCTGATTATCTGCATAGAAAAATACAATTGATAGAAATAATATACACAGCTAAGTGCTTTGTGTTTTTTTGTGAGGTCTAAAATTTAATCATTAACTGTAAAATAACATTGCAGAGTCTGCATCCTAAACAAATACAATTTATCTTTGTTACAGCTGCAAATGTAATTCCTTGCTCCCAAAATTCACTTTAAAATGCAGGCAAATGATAGTCTTTCATTCTATAATGGTTAATGTTACAAGGACTCCACTGGTGCTGCTCCACTGTAATCACATTACAATGTTGATGCAGAAATTATATATGAAGATGCAAAAACCTCTAAAAGCCATCTGAAATTTTCTTCTAAAGTGAGCGTTTTTATCAGTCTCCAGTGTGAAGGTTCAGTAATTTCACTTTTTTGGCAAAGAATAAGTTATTTTCATTGTTTTCAAAGTGACATAACTCAACGTAAACAAAGTAGGCTGAGAATAATTCTCATTGTTGGTGGAAATTTCAGAGGGCCATTCATTCGGCGCTGGCATGCATCATGTGGGCCAAACATGTCCCGGGTTTAGCAGAGGTGGCACTGTCTTAGAGGCAGCACACAAGACCAAAAGTCAAAAATGTAGTGTTTGGCCCAGGTGTTAAAAAACTGATATGTGGGCCATGCAAGTCTGGCATCTTGACCCACATTTGAAATACATTTTAATTATTTTTGAGAAAAATTCTATCTATCAGGTCGCTTCAAGAATTAACTTGGCTGAGACTTGGCTCAGATATGGTCCATGTTTAGCCCTTGTCTGGAAGCCAGATCAAAGTCATGTACCAGATCAGAGTCACGTACCGTAATTAACGGTGGAATCTGAACCAAGCAATAGCTGATTTTGTGGGCCAGAGCTGGGCCAGAGAAGTTTTGCTGTGTAGACTGTTCAACATAAATGTGCTGCCCTCAGACATCAGAATTTACCATAGTAAATCTGACTGTTGACAGAGCCTTCATTCCTCTGTGTAATGAATCTCAGTAGACAAAAAAAGCAAATAAACAAACAAATAATCACAGAGCCTCCTATGTCATACAGTACACTACCTGACAAAAGTCTTGTTTCCTATCAAAGTTTTAAGAACAAATAATAACTTCTTGTTGATCATTTGGTTTCAGAAGTCGCTTATATGAAAGGCAAAGACCTCTAGATTATGCTTATTTTACCAAAATAAAATATGATCATGGCTTAAATTAAAATTATTAAATTAGGACAGTTGTGGCTGGAAGCGCATCCGCTGCGTAAAAACTTGCTGGATAAGTTGGTGGTTCATTCCGCTGTGGCGACCCCGGATTAATAAAGGGACTAAGCCGACAAGAAAATGAATAAATGAATGAATGAATGAATGAAAATTAGGACAGTAAGCTCTGACTTTGCTTAGACAAAAGTCTTGTTACTTAACAGAAATAATGTACAGTATATAATATAAAGTCATGGTGCAGTGGAAAAAGAGTTAATATTGTGTATGACTTCCATGAGCTTGGATGACTGCATCTATACATCTCTGCAATGACTCGAAAAACATCTTAATAAAGTCATCTGGAATGGCAAAGAAGGCGTTCTTGCAGGACTCCCAGAGTTTGTAAAGATTTTTTAGAGTCATCTTCAATGCCTCCTCCTTCATCTTACCCCAGACGTGCTCAATAATTTTCATGTCTGGTGACTGGGCTGGCCAGTCCTGGAGCACCTTGACCTTCTTTGCTTTCAGGAACTTTGATGTTGAGGCTGGAGTATGAGAAGGAGCGCTATCCTGCTGAAGAATTTGCCCTTCCCTGTGTTTGAAATGTAAGAGCAGCACAAATGTCTTGATACCTCAGGCTGTTGATGTTGACATCCCACTCTGCAGATCTCTCACACACCCCAATACTGAATGTAACCCCAAACCATGATTTTTCATTCACCAAACTTGACTGATTTCTGTGAGAATCTTGGGTCCATGCGGGATCCAATAGCTCTTCTGCAGTGTTGGTGATGATTGTGATGCAGTTTAACAGATGATTCATCAGAAAAACCTTCTGCCACTTTTCCAAATGATCAACCAGAAGTCAAGTTATTATTTGTTGCTCATACACCTGAGATCGACAAGACGTTTGTTAGGTAGTGTATGATGTACCCACAGATGCAAAGTCACCCATGAGCTGTCACTGTTTGCTAACCAGAGAGAGGAAGGACTGTGTGTTGTGTGACTGTCGGCGCCAATAGCCTAGTGGTTAGTGCGTCGACACATAGCATCAAGATGCTCATGGCGACCCGAGTTCGATTCCCGGCTTAAGGTCCTTTGCAGATCCTTCCCCTATCTCTGCTCCCCACACTTTCCTGTCTGTAAAATCTCCACTGTCCTATCCCAATAAAGGCGAAAACCAATAAAAAAAAAAAATAAAATAAAAAAAAAATATATATATATATATATATATATATATATATATATATATATATATATATAAAAAAAAAGTTATGCTGACTAAGAAATGTCTACAGTCCTGCATCTCGGATGGCCCAAGGGTGAGTAAATTTATTTATTTTTTTCATTTTTTGACTCAAAAATTGTACTCAATTTGAGTTATTGTGCAATCACTGCAAAAATGCTCCCATGCAAGTTTAGACATGTCAGACTAATAGACTTTATTGTGTGTGTGTGTGTGTGTGTGTGTGTGTGTGTGTGTGTGTGTGTGTGTGTGTGTGTGTGTGTGTGTGTGTGTGGGAGGGAGGGAGGGAGAGTGAGTATGCTCTTGGTAGGAGTGGCTGTCAGGTGAACTATGTCAAAACTTGCTTTCCTGGTCCTTGAGTTGGCTGGGTTTATTGTTTTACACAGCTTACCGAAACACATTTGAGCTTTTAGCACTTTTAGAAGATGTCTATCACGGTGTATTACAGCAGCGTCAGTGGCTCTAGAGAGGTGTGTAGCTTTACTTTTCAGTTGTCTGTGTCTTACAGTTGATTTTGCATTATTAAACTTGATGTAAACAAATGATTAAGAAAAAATCCATATAAATTTTTTAAATGTGGTAGACCGTCGTCATATGTAAAATTACGGTAGTCAAAATACTCTAGAATGTTCTTGAAGTTGGTCTGTAGGAAGATAGTTTTGTCTAATTTGAAGATTAACAGAACTTGCATAGAAACCATAGTTTCTTGTCAACAGTTCATTGTTTTTCTGTTTCGGCAGGTAAAGCAACATCAGGGTGAGATTTTGGGGTTTTTGGATTCCAAAAAGATCAAATACTTTACCGTAGACATCTCCACAAGCAATGACGCAAAGGAGCAGATGAGGAAGAAAGTAGGAAACCCCTCAGCAATGCCTCCTCAGGTGTTTAATGGAGACAAGTACTGTGGGGTGAGTGAGTCTTGGCCTGCTGTCTCTTTTGCTAACACTTTATTTTAAAGTGTCGTTGTAACTACTTATTAATTAATTACATGTATACTTACTATATTGGTCCGAGAGGTTTAAGGTTAATAGGATGTTGTTATGTGTTATTATTGTAAATTTTAATTACTATAGTTAGTAAATAGAACATGTATCAATGAAACATTTATACATCTTCGATTCTGTAGAAGGAATGTTTTTTTTTCTCCAGTGTTTAAAGTTATATTACAAAGATTTTCAATCCATAAAAAAGGACACACTAGTCCCTTAAAATTAACAAATATTTACAAATTATTTACTGTCAGTAACATAAATGACCATACAGGTAATTGTTATTTATCATTATTTGTTACAGATTGCAGGTTGTATATAAGATCTTAACTGATATAAACTGCTATTTATAATGATAGTTGATTTGATGATGACCGCTGTTTATATTTGGGTTTAATATCATTAATTAAAAAATTTTAAGGTAGTATTCATTAGTTATTGATTCCACTGAACCCATGAAAATTTAATGGCAACAAATGCAAATATTCAAACTTCCTCAATAAATTAATATAAATATTTATAAATTTCCCATCAGCTCAGTCCCTTATTTATCAGGGGTAGCCACAATGAAATGAGCCGCCATTTCAGCAAATGTTTTATGCAGCAGATGCCCTTCCAGCTGCAACCCAGTACTGGGAAACACCCATACACGCTAACACTCACACATGCACTCATGCACCAAGGACAATTTAGTTTAGAAAATAATATAAAATTAAACAAAATCTTTTATGTTTTTTATTTCCATGTAATCTTTGTTGAAGCTATCTAATATTTACTAAAAATTCAGTATCCATGCTCCCCCCCACTGTTAATTAAATCATTAGCAAACAATGCAACCTTTTCTGTTTTTACAGTCTTGTACAGTTTTACAGAAAAGCACACAAGGTTCAAGTTGTGTGACTGTAATAAAAGCATAAAAAGATCATGGAAATCTTCTAAACGCATTGCTGTCAGTGCGCTGTTTAGGTTTTTACCAACAAGAGTGTCAGAAGTTGAGAGAAACGACACAGGGCGTACATGTTTGTAGGGCATGTTAATGCTTCTAATTGTGTTTCAAGTGTTGTTTGCACAACAAGCCTTTCCATATAGGTGGAGACCTGTCAGGCTTGTTCAGTTTAACACACCCTTTAAAACAATCCTAATAACTTTATATAGACAGAGTAGTTCCTTGTGAATTTTGTGATCATCCATCTGTCCGCCACCCTGGTGAACATCTTGAGATTCACTTATGATGTTCAGAAAAACAAACATTGCTCAAGTCAGCAAATAATCACACAGCTTCGATTCAAGATGGATGCACTGTGTCTGGATGTACTTTTCCAGGAATGCTACATGAAGTGTTTGTTCAAGTCTTAATCTTCTGAAGACACATTTGTTTCTTTGCACAAACTCTGAATGTAATCAGTTATTACCTGCGTTTGTGTTTACAGGACTATCAGAAGTTTTTTGATGCAGTGGAGGAGGGGAAACCAGAAGCTTTCTTCAAACTCTGAGCTGCTATTTGCACACTACACTACTGTACACTGAACCCTTCTGTTTGTAAAAGAGAGAATATTTTATGTTTGGAAAATGCATATTTTGCACCATTAAATAAATAAAAGGTTTTCTATCATATGTTTTTTGTGTATTTTATATTTGGGTGAAAGACGAGATGTCCTGAGATGGCCTACTTTAAATTTTCAAATACATTTAAAAAAAATAAAATATTGGTTAAAAAAATAAATAAATGGGATGTATTATTAGATTATGTATGGCAAGGACATTTAAAGCTTCACTGCAAAAAGAATCTGTTAATTAACGGTTTTTGTATTTTGTAATACAAATGTGTTTTCTGTTTATTTATTGTTGTAAACTGCAAAATGGGACCTTGATCTCTGTTCTGTTAACTTTTTTTCATGTTGAAAATTCAACTTCACATTGACTTTTATAGACGTATTAGTAGTTTGAAATAATATAAAGTATGATAAATAATATAGAGAGAAATAAGTCTGTAACAGAAAATGTACTGGCAGTTTATTACAACAGCCACAGCCAATACTGGTTACTTACTGAAGCTAAGCAGGGGTGAGCCTGGTTAGTACCTGGATGGGAGACATGGGAAAACTAGGTTCCTGTTGCAAGTGGTGTTAGTGAGGCCAGCAGTGGGCGCTCAGTCTGTGAGAGTCCTAATGTCCCAGTAAAGTGAAGGGGACACTATGTTGTTAGTGAGCGCTGTCTTATGAATGAGACGTTAAACCGAGGTCCTGACTCTCTGTGGTTATTAAAAATCCCATGGCACTTATCGTAAAGAGCAGAGGTGTAACCCCGGTGTCCTGGCCAAAGTTCCTCAATCGGCCCCTATCGGTCATGGCCTTGCAATCATCCCCACTCACTAAATTGGCTCTATCACTGTCTCTACAGGCTATGTGATGAGCGCTGTTGTGCTGTAACTCCCATCGCATCATCCAAGTTGATGCTGCACACTGGTGGTGGTGTGGAGAGACACCTCCCCCCAACCCATCGTGATTGTAAAGTTATTTGTGTGTCTAAATACACATTACATTAGATTACAAGGTTTTTGCAGCGTAATATACAACACAAACCCACACAATAGATCACTTTAAACTATAAAAATGTTAAGAAATGTCACTTTTTTATTTTTCAAGGTTAAAAAGTTGTTGAAAGAAACATCAATGTCCTTTAATGCAATTTTAAAAGTATAAATAAACGAGGGAAATTTAAATAAAACATTAATCAGATTATACAAAAAACTGCTAATTTACGGATATTTTTTACAGAGTATATTAATTACTCTATTGATTTGATGCTGAAAACTCATTTTGGTCCCACAGGCATATCTAAATATAGCACCATATTTTAGAGCTGTGGGAAAAAATTTCCCTATTTGGCCACTAGGTTGTAGTAATGTGTTAATGTTTCAAATGTTGCAAATCCTTATTATCATTATTAATACATTGTGTCCATCTGATATTTTTTCAAAACATTGAGTCCTTTTAAAATGTCTGAACCAATGGAAATGGTATTTTATTATAGTTTGCAGAAAGTGTTTTAATTAGCTTATCTTGCCCTTACACAATATAACCCCCCATTACCCTTAACAATGTCTCAAATCAGAGCAGAAAGTCATTAATTCGTACTGTAGTCATCATGACATTTAAATATTGCATACACTGCCATAAAAAAACTAATTCATAGCAATATTTCCTAAATAGTTTTAGCATGTTTTAGTGCAGGACAAATTTACATAAATGCAAAATTAAGTTTATGCTTGAAACGAGCACAAATTTCTGGTATAAAAATTACTTTTATATTGGATTAAAGTGATATTTTATGAGCCCATTGGCAGATGTTTATAGTTTACTTCATTGCAATCCATTTTTGCACAAATCTCATGTTGTTTTGCTTCTCAAGTAAATCTATCTAAATGTAAAACATCAAAACATGGCAAGATGTTGAGGAACCACATGACTTTTTTTTTTTCATTATTAGCAGGTACAGTAAAAGTTATTTACATATATTAGTGTTAGGGAGCAGACTCACTCAAACCTTTAGCCTTTTTTCATTATGAAGTAAAGAAGTATGGAGAAATCCTCTTATAAGACTTGCATTGTTTTGCCTTATCAAAAAATTTTAACTATCCACTTCATTATTTAGATTAATTTTATAACTAATAAAAATGTAATTGCATTAAATGCTACTTTCATTGTACACACTTTAATTGTATTAAAATATAATAACAAGGCTGTCACGGTGGTGCAGTGAGTAGCACAACCCCCTCACAGCAACTTCATGGTGGAGTTTGCATTATCTCCCTGTGTTCGTGGGTTTCCTTCGGTTTCCCCCACAGTGCAAAGACATGCGCTATAAGGTTAATTGGGTAAGCTAAATTAGCTGTATGTGTGTATGGATGTTTCCCAGTGATGGAATGCAGCTGAAAGGTCATCCGCTGTGTAAAACATATGCTGGAAAAGTTGGCGGTTCATTCCGCTGTGGCGACACCAGATGAATAAAGGGGCTAAGCCAAAAAGAAAATTAATGAATTAATATAATAATAAATAATGCACTATCAATACACTTCATGCATTTTTAAAGTAAAGTAACTTTAAGATCAAGCAATAGGCAGGTCTTCTGTAAAGTATGTCATTTGAACACTTTATCCATTCAATTCATCAGCATTCATGAACTCATGGACAGCAGCCATCTGTATCTATTTATACAGGAGCAACATTTTCTCACGCTCTCAACGTCATCCACTTATATTAGCTATTAATGCAAAAGCACCACATACAAAGGCATGCATGATATGCACCACTGCACTAAAAGTTAAGTGTGGGATCTCTGTCTATCCAAGCAAAGTCTTAAGAAACACAAGAAACCAAACTTTCGAATATACTTTATTACAAATTAGCTTTTGTTTTGTTTTTTTAAATATATTCATTTAGATGTGGAAAGTAAACAATAACGTACATAGAGAAATGATTGATTGCATTTCACAATAAGTGAGAGGAAAAAGGGGCATAAAACATCATTGTGTCCTGAGAATGGTGTGTATGTGCGCGTAAACATAAGCGCGGTGCTCGTTCATGTGGAATCATTTAATGAAAGTGTGGGAGAAACGAAGCAAGGCGCGATATAATGAACAATACGTGAAAAGTAGGTTTGAGAGCGTGTCTGGGATTTGTTTCAGGGGATTTCTAACAAGGAATGTTAAATAGAATGAGTACTGTGTGTAAACAAAACATAAATATTCACCTCAGCATCGTTTGATAATGAGCTGAAAGTTCACAGTGTGCTACATGCTACATGCTAACATACCCCTGAGAAGAAAAACACTTTAACAGACACTTTAAGAAGACAAGACTGAGAGATCCTGGACATTTGAGTTATTAAGTTTTTTTTCTTTCCACAGGAATGAAGGCTGTAGGTTTTGACATCAAATACTGATTCAGGAGCAGTACACACGATGAGGCGTGGAAACACATCTTCATGCAGGTCAGGATTATATTTCCTGTTATAAAGCCATTTCTGAAGTTATTTTTACTTAAATAGATCAAAGGATGCAGAAAAAAACATATTAAACCAGATTCTTTTGCTTTTTCCTTACATTTACTGTCTGTTGAGCTCCTTAAAGTGATAGTTCCACCAAAAATGAAAATTCTAGTAGGCTATATTTGTTCCTACTATTGTTTTCAAGGCCTTACCAGTTATTCTTCAAAACATCTTCTTTTGTGTTCGACAGAAAAATAAACTATATATCATAGAGGTTTTGAACTATGATTTAAATGCCCAGGAAGCAATTTTTGATGTCTAATAGATGTCTAAATGTAGAGAGCCTGGCTAAAACAAGGCCAAATTTGGCCTGTCAGTGAAAAATATAATAGATGTCTAAGAATACGCCTCTAAGAATCGGTCTTAGGTCTAAGAATGAATGACTACACATATAAACTCTGTATGATCTGTCTATTTGACGACTAGTCTAGTTTTGGGCTATTCTTAGATGTCTTTTGGATTTTCACTGACAGCCCATGTTAAGCTTTTGTTTTAGCCAAGCTGTCTACATTTATATTTCTATTAAACACAAATTGTCTTGCTGGGTGCTGAGTAAATGTTCATTATTTAGGAGTGCACTATCACTTTAACAAAAACAATTTACAACACATTCAGAACTTCATGTATTGATTACGGCACAACTCTACCACGCATCTATAAACTCAATCTTCAATCCCTGTATTGTGTTTTAAAAAGCAAACTATGCTTTTCATGCAACAGATGAAACAAATGAAACAAAGTAATAACAGCAACACATATAAATATTTAATTAGGCATAGAAAATATTGACCACCCTGTGCGTGTGTGTGTTTTTGAATGGAGAAAGCTGGAGGGCAGCGTGTGTTTGGCAAAAGCATCGCTGGCAGTGAGGGCTTCAGTCGGGGACGAGAGGTACGCGACAGGAGAAAGAGGCAATAGCACAGTGTTTCAGTCTATGGAAATGTCAGCAATAAAGTCTAGGATTCAGAGTCCTGTGGGGAAAAAGAGATGTTAATCCTCTTAATAATATGCTTAATATCATCACATTAAGCCACTGTTGAGCTAGAACAAAAAATTGTATCTTAATGATCTCTATCTTATTCTTGCTGATTCGTATACAGGATATAAATAGATTAAATTGAGTGAAAATCACAGAATATATCTTGAATACATATAATATTTCTTATTTGATTGTGAAATAAAGTTGCCGGTTCATTGAGCTGTGGTGACCCCTGATTAATAAAGGGACTAAGCTGAAAAAAAATGAATGAATGATTGTGTAATTAAGATGTTTTTTTTTAAGCTTTTGATGTTTATGTGGATTGTGTAGTTTGTATTTCAGAATAGTTTGTTGCAGTACTACATTATCCTTGTACAGTAATTATATTCTATATAATTTTTAATTTCTATATTATTAGCGTTTATAAAAATGACAATTTTTCAGTTAACTTAATTACCATTGGATAATACAAAATCTAGGTGCCTTGTTTTGTTTCTATAGCTTTAAAAAAGAACATTTTAGCTACGTTTCTGGGGTTTCATAAGTATAATGGTGTTTCATAATCCAAATCAATGGTAATTATAAC